ATGATTCCACTACTGGATATATACCCTAAAAAATTTCCTCAAGAAATTAAAAATAGAACTACCATATGATTCCACTACTGGATATATACCCTAAAGAAAGAAATTCAGCATATGGAAGAATTATCTTTACTCTCATTTACTGCAGTACTATTCACAATAGCCAAGAGATGGAATCAACCTAAGTGCCTATCAATGGATGAATGGATAAAGAAAACATGGCACATATACACATGAAATTCTATTCAACCATAGAAAATAATGAAATCATGTCACCTGCAACCACATGGATGAAAGTGGAGGGATACTATGTTAAGTGAAATAAGCCAGGCACAGAAAGACAAATGTCACATGTTTTCACTAATATGTGGAAGCTAGGAAAAGTTGATTTCATGGAGGTAGAGAGCAAAATGGTAGATAGTAAAGCCTGGGAAGGGTATGGAGGACAGGAAATAAAGGGAAATTGATTAATGGGTACAAAAGCATAGCTAGATAAAAGGAATAAGATTGTGTTTAATGGTGTAATAGTGCAATTAGAGTTAACAGCAATTTATTGTATATTTCAAAATAACTAGAAAAGTAGATTTGGAATGTTCCCAACATGAAGAAGTGATAAATATTTGAGGGGATGGATATCTCATTTACCCAGATTTGATTATTACACATTGTGTACTTGTATCAAAATATCACATTTACTCCATTTTAATGGACAACTATATGTATTCAAAGAAGTTAAAAATTAAAAGATTTTTGGGCTAGGCGCAGTGGCTCACACCTGCAAACCTAGCATTCTGGGAGGCCCAGGTGAGTGGATTGCCTAAGTTCAAGACCAGCCTAAGCTACAGCAAGAACTCATTTATAAAAAATAGCCATGCATTGTGGCAGGTGCCTATAGTCCCAGCTACTTGGGGGCTGAGACAAGAGAATTGCTTATGTCCAGGAGTTTGAGGTTGCTGTGAGCTATGATGCCACGTAACTCTACCAAGGGGAGCAGTAGGACTCTGTTGTAAAAAAAAAAAATCAAAAGTCTTGACACCCATAGCACAATGGCGCCGACCACATGCACTGAGACTGGCAGGTTCAAACCCAGCCAGGACCAACTAAACAGCAGTGACAACTGCAACAAAAAAATAGCCAGGTGAGCACCTGTGGCTCAAAGAAGTAGAGTGCCGGCCCCATATACTGGAGGTGGCGGGTTCAAAACCAGCCCAAGCCAAAAACTGCAAAAGAAAAATAGTCAGGCACTGTGGCGGGCACCTGTAGTCCCAGGTACTTGGGAGGCTGAAGCAATAGAATTGCTTAAGACCAAGGAGGTTGCTGTGAGCTGTGACCCCTTGGCACTCTACCAAGGGTGACATAGTGAGACTCTGTCTCAAAAAAAAAAAAAATTAGACCAGGTACAGTGACTCATGCCTGTAATCCTAGCACTCTGGGAGGCTGAGACAGGAGGATAGCTTAAGCTCATGAGTTTGAAACCAGCCTGAGCAAAAATGAGACCCCATCTATAAAAAAGAGAAAAATGGGAGGGCTCCAAGTTGGCAGACTAAAGCCATCTCCTCATTAGCTGCTCTAAGATCGGGGAGAGGAGACACCAGCCAGTTTGAAATTGGAGCGTCCCCTTCAGAAACAACATTGTCATGGATCAAGGACTGCTACTGAGACAACTGCTTGGTACTTCAAAAGCCAAAGAGGCTACTTCAACACCAAAGCACAGAGACAAGGAAGATTAAGGAGAAGGCAAAAGTGAGAGAAGTAAGTATGGGAAGAATGTAAACAAGAAGAAAACACACAAGGAGGAACCAACAAAAATATTCTCGCAACATGAAAAACCAGAACAGATCAACTCCTCAAGGGATCACAAGAGAACTATCACAGATGATCAAAACTATAAAGAAATTATGGAAATAGAAGGAAGAGGCAAGATGGCTGACCGAAACCAGCTTTCAGCAGAACCTCCCATCCATAGGGAGAAATAATGGCCAGAACGAACCCAATAAAGCTGAAGATCGGGAGCTGAGCTGAGAGAGATTGATGGGATCACATCACCCCTGCTGAGGCAAGATGGAACTCTAAGGAAGCAAATATCAGGTACAAAACCCATCCCAAAGAGGACAAGAATCCTACTCCTCCCCCCAGAGTGGGTTGCTGTGTTATCAATACAAGCGAGAAGTGAACAGAAGACCTCTTGTTATACCACACAGGAGAGAGCAGCTGAGGCTGGGACTCCTTCCCCAGAGAGATCCCTCTGCAAGGCCATGTAGTCTCTTGCCCGGGATAAAAGTTGAACAAATATTTTCCCTGCCTTTCTGAACTCCCAATCCACCCTTTCCCCCTCTCCTGGCGGTCTGGAAGACTACCCCATGCAGAATCCAGAGTGTCTGGTGGATTTTTGCTAGTGCGGGGCATTTCATGGGCTGCAGGGCAGCTGCACTGAAACTATAACTCTAGTAGAAGCAGGGAGTCACAAGGGGAGAGAGACTTCCCCCATGCTGGTAAATGCACAGCACGGAACTGCACCACCGACTGGGGACCACAGAGGCAGCCGCCCTCTCCTCTGACCCATGTGGAGGCACTGCCCACTGGAACCCACCCACTCCTGCAACTAGTCCCACAGTGGCACCCCTGACCAGCAGCGCCACCTCTGTCTGGGGTGGCAGCTCCCCAGACCCTCCCTCTGGGGTCAAATTTGGGAGAGACACCTCCCCAATTCTGTGGAACATGGAGGGAGCCTGACCATGCCCCACAGAGGCTCCAGAGGTGGAGTGCAGCCAAGGCAGAGGCATGGTCTCTGAGGGAAAGAACCATATTCTGCCACGGTAACCCCTGGCTGGTTACAGATGCAGGTGGAACTCTCCCCGGTTTCCAATGAACACAGGAGGAAATCAGGCCTGAACTCCTCCCACCTGCAGATTGTGCAGAGAAAGATCCCGGTCATGGAGGCATTGACTCGTGTTTGACTCAGGCACAAATCCCTGGTGTACTTGAGTATTAGAGATCTAGGCCACAGCCCTGTAGAGTTACCAGTGACTGTGTGTGATGGAGGTGCAAGGTGGAGAAGAAGGTACCAGCCCCTCTTGACTAATTCTTTTGCTGGGCGGACCTTTCTGACTCCAGAGCAAATTACAGTTGAGCTCCCAGTGGACCACTGCTGTCCAGTTGCTGGAGACCTTTTGAACTCTCCCACTTGATCTGCATTTGTGCTGACCCAGACAATTGGTTTGGAACTCTCAATCTGGGCCTATCACCTGAGGACCCTCCAAGGTTATATCCTGGTTGTGTTGTAGTGGGAGGGTTTGATTCTCCTCTTCCAGTTGTTGCCTGTGGGGGATGGGGTGTCTTGGTTGCTTGTATTCCTCCACACCTGAGATTTCAACCCAAAATCACTGCTTCACAAGGATTGGACACGGTCTAGCTGAATACAAGACAAAGCCACCTAGCCCCATCATACCAAGTGGGCCCCCAGAGTCTTAGGCTATAATACTAAATGGGACCTTTGTAAAGATATGGGGCAAAAGCCACAGTCACCAGTCCCAGCACTCTGGTAAAGGGCTGGTTAATAACAACTCCAGGAACTCTCAATTCAATTTCACCATACCAGCTTCTCTAGCCAAATGGTGAAAAATAACCATGGGGCAGAATCAGCGGAAAGACTCTGGCAACATGAATAATCAGAGTAGATCAACTCCCCCAACATATTCTTCTATTTGTTAATATCCTCTGCTATTTATTTTCTTAGGGTTTCATAATTTTCTTTATAGAGGTTCTTTACCTCTTTTGTTAGGTATATTCCTAGGTATTTTGTTTTCTTTGAAGCTATGGTGATAGGGGTTGTGTCCTTAATTAGCCTCTCATCTTGGCTGTTATTGGTGTATACAAAAGCTACTGACTTGTGGACATTGATTTTATATTTCAAGACATTACTATAGTTTTGATGACTTCCAGGAGTCTTATGGTTCAGTCTTTGGGGTTCTCTTAGTATAAGATCATATCATCAGCAAAAAGGGAGAGTTTGACCTCCTCTGCTCCCATTTGGATGTCCTTTATTTCCTTCTCTTACCTGACTGTATTGGCTAGAAATTCCAGAACTATGGTGAATAGTAGTGGTGCCAGAGGACAACCTTGTCTGGTTCCAGTTCTAAGTGGAAAAGCTTTCAGGTTTACTCCACTCAGCAGAATATTAACTGTGGGTTTGTCATAGTTAGCTCTGATTAGTTTAAGAAATGTGCCACTTATGCC